CTGAAGCACCCAGGCTTTCTGGCCTTCGGGTGCACCCCTCGTCGCCGCGCGCGCGCGCGCGCCGCCGCGCGCGCGGCGGCGCAGGGGCGTGGGGCGCTCAGTGTTTCAGCAGTAGAAGAAGCGCCATGTTGGCCTGGAGAATCAAAGTGGACCACTAGCGGTTGCCGATTGGATTTCCAAGTCAACATGGGTTCTGGTGTACGTGTCTTGCAACGGCGTATACAACAACCCCTCGCGCGCGCCCGCGCCGCCGCGCGCGCGGCGGCGCCGCCGCGCGCGCGGCGGCGCGTGCGCGTGGGGCGCCCCGCGTTATCAGCAATAGAAAAGTTGCCATGTTGGCCTGGGAAATCAAAGTGAACCCTTGGTGGTTGCCGATTGGATTTCGAAGTTAACATGGGTTTTGGTGCATGTGTTCTACAACAGCGCAGACAACACTCCTCGCGCGCGCCTGCGCCGCCGCGCGCGCGGCGGCGTGTGCGCGTGCGGAGCTTCGCGTTATCGGCAATAGAAGAGTCGCCATGTTGGCCTGGAAAATCAAAGTGAACCCTTAGCGGTTGCCACTTGGATTTCCAAGTTACCATGGTTTCTGGTGCATGTCTTCTGCAACAGCGCGCGCAAAACTTCTCGCGCGTTCCTGCGCCGCCGCGCGCGCGGCGGCGCCGCCGCGCGCGCGGCGGCGCGTGCGCGTGGGGCGCCCCGCGTTATCAGCAATAGAAAAGTTGCCATGTTGGCCTGGGAAATCAAAGTGAACCCTTAGTGGTTGCCGATTGGATTTCGAAGTTAACATGGGTTTTGGTGCATGTGTTCTACAACAGCGCAGACAAACACTCCTCGCGCGCGCCTGCGCCGCCGCGCGCGCGGCGGCGTGTGCGCGTGCGGAGCTTCGCGTTATCGGCAATAGAAGAGTCGCCATGTTGGCCTGGAAAATCAAAGTGAACCCTTAGCGGTTGCCACTTGGATTTCCAAGTTAACATGGTTTCTGGTGCATGTCTTCTGCAACAGCGTGCGCGAAACTTCTCGCGCGTTCCTGCGCCGCCGCGCGCGCGGCGGCGCGCGCGCGCGAGAAACGCCGCAGCGCCAGCAATAGGACAGTTGCCGCGTTGACTGGGGAATTCAAAGGGAGCCCTTGGAAGTGGGCAGTTTGATTTCCAAGTTAACATGGGTTAACAAGGCTGGATCATCGGCTTAGGTTGACGTGGGCGCTGGGGCTTAAGCTTAGGCGTGGCTAGTGCTTGGCTTAGCCTCAGGCCGAGGCCGAGGCCGAGGCTGTGGGCGTGAACGTTGCTAGACTTAGGCTGGGGCACATACGAGGCTGGTTTGAAGCCCAGGCTTACGTTTTGATTTAGGCGAGTTGAGGCCCAAACTAGGATTAGGCTGGCGCTTGGGCCGCGGCTTGGGCCATGCCGAAGCTTAGGCTTACGTATTTGGGCTGACGCTCGAGCAGAGGCGTGGGCAGTGTCTGGGACCTCGGCTTGGGCACCGCTTAGGCTTGGCCGAGGCTATGCTTCGGCTGGGCTGAGGCTAACGTTTAGGCTGGGGCTTGGCTTAGGGCTACGGCCGCGGCTCATGCCAGGCTGGTGCTGGGGCTTGGGCTAGGCTGAGGGCGAGGCTTGGGCTGAGGCCGGGCAACGCTTAGGCTGCGGCTGGGGCCAGTCTGAGGCTGAGGGGGCTATGCCTCAGCCTGTGCTTACTAGTCTGGGCTTAGGCTGATGCCCAGGCTTGGGCTTAGGCTGAGCAGGGCAGGCGTTGAGGCTTATGCTGAGGCTGTTGCCTATACTTGGGACGGGCTCAAACCAGTCTTTGTGTGACGCTTGGGCTGGGCTGAGGCTTGGGTTCAGGCTGAGGCTGAAGCTATGTGCAGCTTAGGCTGGACTTCGGCTGGGCTTCGGCCAGGCTGAGGCTCAGGCTGGGCTGACCAAGGCTGCGGCTTAGACACAGGCCGTGGCTTGGGCTAGACTTATTGCGCTAAGCGGAGGCTGAGGCTCGGGCTGAGGCCGATTTGGCTGGGGTGATGTATAGGATGGGTCTCAGGCTGGGATGAGGCTTAGCGTGAGGCTTGGGCGCGAGCTGAGGCTGAGGCCTGGGCTGGGCCAGATTGTGGCTCAAGGATTTGCTGGAGCTTAGGCTGTGCTCGTTCGCGGGTTCGGCTTAGCTGAGGCTGCGCGTCCACGGTGCGGGCGGGCCCCTCCGCGTTCTTCGGTCACCATGTCTGGGTTCTGCTTCCACAAACCACGCGCACGTCGATGATGGCGGCGCGGGGACTTGCGCCCTCGCCTGTCCTTGGGGGACAGCCGCCTGGAGGCGGGGGGCCGAGGGTTGCAGGGGCAGGGCGCGCGGCCGCGGCCTGGCGCCCCGGGCGGTCGTGCGAGGTCGCGCGCGGCTCCCTGGCGCAGGGGCTTCGGCGGGATCCTGGGCTCATGCATGAATGCCAGGGCGTGCGACGTAGCGCTGGGGCCCACTGCTAAGGCCCGACGGAGTGGGTCGCAGGCCTCGCGCACCCGCGGCGCGGGCAGGGCCCTCCATGTTCTTGGGTCTCGAATGTTCTTCGGTTTCGGTGTCGAGGCGCTGGCTCCAGCAACCGCGCGCTCGTGGGCGAGGGCGGCGCGGAGACGCACACCCTCGCATGTTTTTGTTTTTCGGGGACAGCGGCCTGGAGCTGCTGGGCCTCAGGTGGCGGGGCCAGGCCGCGCGGCCGCGGCCTTGAGTCTGGGGCTGGCAGGCCAGGTCGCGCGCGGCTCGCTGGGGCATGAGGTCGAGGGCGAGAGCTTGGGCGGGTGCGCGCATGAGTGCCAGGGCGTGCGACGCGGCGCTGAGGTCCACTGCTAAGGCTCAGAGTCCGAGGCCGCAGGCCTCGCGCGTCCGCGGCGTGGGCAGGACCCTCCATGTTCTTCGGTCTTGGTGTCAATGCGTCGCCTCCAGCAGCCGCGCGCTCGTGGATGACGGCGGCGCGGAGACGCACGCCCTCGCATGTTCTTGTTTTGGGGCAACAGCAGCCTGGAGCTGGGCCTAGGGTGGCGGGGGCCAGGCCGCGCGGCCGCGGCCTTGAGTCTGGGGCGAGCAGGCGAGGTCGCGCGAGGCTCCCTGGGGCGCCGCGGGGGTGGGGCGAGAGCTCGCGCGCGTGCATGAGTGCCAGGGCGTGAGACGTGGCGCTGAGGCCCACTGCTAGAGCCCGACTAAGCTGGTCGCAGGCCTCGCGCGTCCGCGGCGCGGGCAAGACCCTCCATGTTCTTCGGTCTCGATGTCAACGTGCTGCCTCCAGCAACCGCGCGCTCGTGGATGACGACGGACGCGCGGAGGCAGATCCAGGGCACAGGAACACAGCGTGGGTCTCGGGGGGCGGGGGGGGGGGTCAGGGCTTCGGGGTTGCGTGGTCCAGGCTGTGCAGTCGAAGGCTTTAGGCTGGGGGCTGAACCAGATGCGTACTTACGCACGTTGGCTCGGAAGTGAAGGTCGGGGACACCTCGGAAGGGCGTCCTCGACGTCCTTATGGTTTGGGGTACTTTGGCCCGCGGAGAATCTCAGGTTCTTGTCCGATGTTCTTGTGGCCTTGTTCCGGCCGTAGTGGTCACGTGAAGGCGCAGTTTCTCACGCGAGCCCTCCCAATTCGCTGCGATCGGTACAGATCCAAAGTTGGCCAGATGGTTTTTTCGTGTCGGGTGTTTTGGTATTTCTCCTTTTGTTTTCTCCCTCTCATTGTTTCTGTTGTCCCCGATCGCGCGTGAAGTTTTTTATCTGAAAAGACATGAAAAGACCACCATTCTTTCCTTGGGCGGTGTTACCAGAGGTTTTTTTTTGTTTTTTTTGTTGCGTGCCGCGATCACTTGTTCTTTGCGTCTCGGCAGCCGGAGGGATCTCTGTCAAAACGAAAAGAACAATGAGGGAACACTCTCGAAAAGGAGCTCGGCCGTTCCTTGTAAATGCATTAATTTATTATGAAAAACAAAGCTTTGTTCTTTATTTAGCGTTCATTTTTTGGAAGAATCCTGAGTATATTGGGTTTCAATATTGGATTTCCAATATTAAGTTCCCAATATATTGGGTTTCCAATATACTGAGTTTCAGCTGTGTCGGTTTCCTATATATATTGGGTTTATAATTTCTTGAGTTTCCAATATATTCGGTTTCCAATATATTGGGTTTCCAAGATATTGGGTTTCCAATATGTTGGGTTTCCAATATATTGGGTTTCCAACATACTGGGTTTCCAATATATTGGGTTTCCAATATACTGGGTTTCCAATATAATGGGTTTCAAATATATTGGGTTTCCAATGTATTAGGTTTCCAATATATTGGGTTTCCAATGTATTGGGTTCTTAATATATTGGGTTCCCAATATTTTGGGTTTCCAATATATCGGGTTTCTAATATATTGGGTTTCGAATATATTGGGTTTCCAATATAGTGGGTTTCCAATATATTGAGTTTCCAATATATTGCGTTTCCAATATACTGGGTTCCCAATATATAAGCCCGAACCCGAACCCAAACCTCACCGGCTGTAATTCAGTTGTTCCCGTACTAATACAAATCCCTAGTGCAACCGCGATTAAGGTGTTGTTGCATTGCACTTACAGTCTCGGCTCTCACGCTTTTCTTCCTCTGGTTGCGCTTGGGGGGGTGGGACCCCTCGCGCGGGCACCCCCGCGGCTGGGAGTTCATTCCTCTTCCGGAATTTGAGGGGGGGGTAACCCCCGTGCTCGAACCCCATCGCCAGGGTTTTTTTCTTTCCTCCGCGGAAACCGGACCCCCTGGGTTCTTCGGCGCGCCCCATTTTTTTTCTTCTTTCCGGTTGGGCCTCCATGGGTCTTAGGTTGGAGTCACCCGGGTGATACGAAAACTAAAGAGTGCCCCAAAAGTAGCCCAAAACTAGTCCAAAAGTTGTCCGGGGATTATTTTTGGAGCATTATTTTTTATACCTTTTTGGGACATGTTTGGGGTATGTCTTATTCTGCGTCGAAAATCCCCCTGTGAGGGGGACACGCCCGACGCAATACCAGGCGTTCGCGCTGCGGTTGTCGGGCGAATAGAACTATGCACATGCACCGATCCTGGCAAGGCCCATCCTTGACCCAGGATCGGTGCATATGCCTTCCTGGCCAAGGTAGGAGGGCGTATGCACCGATGCCTGGCTCAGGATGGGCCTGGCCAGAATCGGTGTATGTGCATAGTTCTGTTTCCTCTAGGTTGGAGTACATGCTGCAGACCACCATGCCCGAGGGCAGGACCCCCGAGGTGGTGTGCAGCAGGCTGGCTGGGCGGGCCGCGGCCGGCCCCCAGACGGCCTCGGACGCGGATCCCCCCACGGCTTCTGGGTCCCCCTCCTCCTCCTCCTCCTCCTGCTGCTCCTCCTCCTCCTCCTCCTCCTCCTCCTCCTCCTCCTCCTCCTCCTCCTCCTCCCTTCCTCCTCCTCCTCCTCCTCCTCCCTTCCTCCTCCTCCTTCCTCCTCCTCCTCCTCCTCCTCCTCCTCCTCCTCCTCCTCCTCCTCCCCTCCTCCTCCTCCCCCTCCTCCTCCCTCCTCCCTCCTCCTCCTCCTCCTCCTGCTCCTCTCCCTCCTCCTCCTCCTTCCTCCTCCTCCTCCTCCCTCCTCCTCCTCCTCCTCCCCCTCCTCCGCCTCCTCCTCCCTGCTCCTCCTCCTCCTCCTCCTCCTCCTCCTCCTCCTCCTCCTCCTCCTCCTCCTCCTCTCCTCCTCCTCCTCCTCCTCCTCCTCCTCCTCCCTCCTCCTCCTCCTCCTCCTCCTCCTCCTCCTCCTCCTCCTCCTCCTCCTCCTCCTCCGCTCTCTTCGGGCCGAACGAAAGGGGGGGGGGCAGGTGGCCACGGCCTCCGGGGGGCAGGTGGCCACCCGGCGGCGAGCGAGGGGGGGAAGTGAGAAGGGCTGGGCCTGCTCAGAAGGCTGGGACATCCACCCGGCCCTCTGAGAGGTTTCCTAAGAAGAGCCTTCCCCGAAGACGCAGGAGGCTTCCCAGCAGGCGCGAGGGCTTCTGAGAAGTCCCGCCGCCTTCTGAGAAGGCCTTCTCCTTATCACTGACCCCCTCGCTCGCCGCCGACTCACGCGCACACGGTGATCACGTGCTGCCCCGTGCCAGAGGGCGGATGTGAGCACCAACGTGTCCTCAGGAGCTCGTCGGCGCGCAAGAGTGAGACCCTTCGCCGGAGTGCCCTTTGGTGCGGGCCCACACAGGGGGCCCCCCAGCACTGGCTGTCGCGCTTGGACTTGGCCCCCCCGTGGCCCCCTGAAGCCGCGCACCGAAGGTCACTCTTGCCCAGGGCCTAGGGTTACTCTTGCGCGCACGCGAGGGATGGGCATCGGAGTCTCTCCCTGGGGAGGCTGGAGCGGAACAGCACGGACAGCTCCTACGTCGTGCGCTCGTGCCCAGGCAGCGCGGCAAGCGGGTGCTCGGCCGACTGCGGCAGCTGTGTGCAGGACATGGTCCGCCACTTCACCCTGGACCGCTGCGCGGCGGGGTGGAAGCTCCACCAGGGCGCCGCTCCGGAGGACTGCGCCGGCGAGCGCAAGGAGTGCGCCGGCCTCAACCAGGTGCTCGGCATCACCCAAACATACGTTATACTGTGTGATCATCGTTTTTTTTCTTCATCGTTTTGTCGATGGGCGCGGGCCCTCGCACCCCCCCTACTCCCCCCCCCCTATGGAGTAGATCTTGGCTGCTTTTGACGCCTGTGTCAAGCATGTGGAGCCTCCCCCAGAGGGCGCACGGTTCCAAACAGTCGCACGGAGCAGAGGTCTGGAGCCAGACCCCCCCCTTTTCCCCCCCCTTCCGCTCAAAGTCGAAACGCCGAATAAGAAAGCGCTCACTACGTGTGCGGCCGTACCCCAGGGGCGCAGCGCGTGCTGAGAAATCACATAATAATTATAGGCTCGGTGGCGGGCGCTGTCTGGCCGTACCGGTCGGGAAACGACCTGCTACAGGATGCTTGCACGAGTCGGATCGGACGTGCGCCTTCAACAGGGGCACAACGAATCGTGCTACGGTCGGGGCCCTGAAGAAGGAACCCTTTTCGTTGGGGAGGGGCTCCGTGTTCCTTGATTGTTCCGCGGCTTGCCTCAGGGGTTCCTCATGTTTTCGATGGGAAGTCGAAGTTCAACTCATGGAAAAAAGGTGCCTCGTTCCTTATTTGGGGCTCCTGGGGTCAACGCCCCGACCGTAATATGTCCTTGTGCGTCCCAAGGTGGACGTGGGGCTGTCCAGGTGGTGCAACCGCTGGCCCGTTGCGGGAGAGACCTCTTCCGCAAAGAGTTCGGATGAATTGAGCGGGAGCGCGGCGGCCTGACCCGTAGACGGGCTAACGGCGATGTAGGTAGCGGCGATGTAGGTTTCGGTATTGTGGAAACGCGTGGCTCGCGCTTTCCTACAATTCGCCGTGTCGTGCTCGCTCGGTCCATTCGCAGACTGGGAGTGTAGAAAAGTGTGGTTCGTGATTTCCTTCACTGTGGTCCCTTCCCAACATCACCGTTAAGCAAAATCGCCGTTAGCCCGGCCTTGGCTGACGGCGTCTGACCCTCAGGGCCAGTGATGGGGATCCTCCTTGTTCGATCCTCGAAGACGTGGCGTCGTCCTCTTTCCTCCTGCTGCTGCTCCTGCTCATCCTCCTTCCGCTCGCAGCGCCTCGTCTCACAATACTTGTCCTAAGAAAATAGCTACTTCCTGTCGCACCCCGAGGCCAGTCGGAAGGGCGGGCCAGGCGTTTCGCTTGAGATTTCTTTGCCATGTCTGATCCTGAAGCCAACAAGTTGACGACAGTTTCATAGATGGAGGGCGGGTTGCTTCCAACATGTGGCTCTCACATTTGCGCCGCGTACATTCGCTTTAAAGAAATGCAAAAGCTTAACGTATTGAGGGCGAGCGGTTTTCAAAATGTGGTTTTCGCCTAAGCGCCGCGCACATTCGTTCTCACAAATTGCAAGAGCTTCACGGCTTGAGGGATGTTCCTTTTCAAACTGTGGTTCTCGCTTTAGAGCCGCGCGCATTCGTGGAAACAGTTGCAAGAGTTTCACGGACTCCCGCGCGGATTCGCGGTGTCGAAGTCCCAGGAATGGTTTTTTGGCACGGTTCAGGATTGCCAAGACGCAACAGGCTGGTTGGTTCGTAGCGCTGAAGTTCCGATAATGGTGTTTTGACACGCTTCAGGATCTTCAAGCGGCTGTCTCCCAACGGGGCACTTCACCCAGAGGAAATGAATCCCTGTATGGGGCCATTGACGAGGGGACTGGGAGGGAAGGTTTATTCCAACATCTTTGATGAGTCTTGGGTTTGCACTGGTCCTCCTCCTCCTCCTCCTCCTCCTCCTCCTCCTCCTCCTCCTCTCCTGCATCCGTCCGCACGTGTGAAGAGGACCCCTGCCGCCCCGCGAGCCGGCGGAGCCGTGGGGAGCCAAAGGCGGGGCAGCAGCATAGTCTTATGTTTCTTGGGAGCCGACTGCACAGATTGCAGATCTCAGGAGGTCCTGGCTGCCTATCGTCACTTGACGTCCGAGGGAGATCCTTGGAAGATCCCTCTTCCTCCAAGAGGAGGAGGAGGGATACCTACATGTATATATGTATATATATACATATATATGTATATATATATATGTATATATGTATCTACACATGTATATGTATATATATAGATAGATATATACACTCCTATCTACATAGATATATGTATATATGTATGCAAATCGGTCGTGCGCTTCGCATGAAGCATCAACTTTGGCCACGTTCGACATCACAGCTCGCAGCAGAATTAGAAATTACGCCCTTCGGGAACTCATCCCGCGCACCACTCCTGACACCACTCTTCGCCAATTAAGTTGGATTAGGGAGTTGCCAATATAGCTCCTCCTCCTCCTCTGTCTTTGCACGGGCCCCCGTCGATGCGAACCTCAGGCGTCCTCTTTCGATTCTGCCGCAGCTGCTCCTCTTCCTTTCTCCTTCCAAGTGCACCAGGGGGAGGAGGAGGAGGAGGAGGAGGAGGAGGAGGAGGAGGAGGAGGAGGAGGAGGACGAGGAGGAGGAGGAGGAGGAGGAGGAGGAGTGGGAGGAGGAGCAATACCCTCTATCGCTTTTCCTGCTTCCTTTGCTTGCCTTGCTCCGCTTTTTTTCCTCGGTCGCCTACTCCCCGGGGCCTCCAGCGGCGAGAGTCTGCCAAAGATATGGGCGCTGCGAGCCCTGGAGAGAAGTAAGCACATGGTTGGGATCAGCAGCAGCAGCTGGACGAGGAGGTTTAGGGAGGAGGAGGAGGAGGAGGAGGAGGAGGAGGAGGAGGAGGAGGAGGAGGAGGAGGAGGAGGAGGACGAGGAGGAGGAGGACGACGACACCGATGAGTGGAAGGCCAATATTGCCGCTCACGTTGCACATTCCAGTCGAATGAGATGGTGATGATGATGATGATGAGGAGGAGGAGGAGGAGGAAGAGGAGGAGGAAGAGGAGGTGGAGGAGAGGGAGGTCGACGAGGAGGAAGAAGAGGAGGAGGAGGAGGAAGAGGACCAGAGTACACCCAGGATGCGTCACCGATGCTGCAATACGTACACCCTCGCGTCCAAAGTTCCCGCCGAAGCTGCCAGCCAGCAGCGTTCTGTCTCACTACAAGAAGCGCCCCCCCATGAGAGGCGAGCACCCCACGGGCCTGCCAGTCCGGCGAGGGCCTCGTTTTGAAGTGGAGCTGCACGGCTTCCTTCTTGCGAGCGAGGAGGAGCGCGTTTTGAAACAGAGCCGCACTGCTTCCTTCTTGCGAGCGAGGAGGAACGCGACAAGGCACGATCATAGATTTCAACCTGGCATCGCTCGGACGTGTGCATTTTTTTCTCGGCGAGGACCTTCGAGGAGCATCATCGACCACTTGGCGAAAAAGCCACGCACGAAGCCGAACAAAAGCACAGGAAGTGGACGTCCGAGCGATGGTCAGTCAACGAGTTGTCCAGGGAGGGCCCCGTGTCGAGGAGAGGCCGCCCCCCCCCGTCCGTGCTGTGGTGCCAGACGCCCAGGCTTCTGGTCTCTCAGCTCGCGGGGGGGCCTCGGGCGAGAGCCCCGTGCTGGAAGGGGAAGCTTCCTCCGTCCGTGCAGCTGGTGCAGAAACCACGAGGTCCCCCTTTTCGGCAACGACCCACCCCCTCCTCCTCCTCCTCCTCCTCCTCCTCCTCCTTCTCCTCCTCCTCCTCCTCCTCCTCCTCCTCCTTCTCCTCCTCCCTCCTCCTTCTCTTCCTCCCTCCTCCTCTTTCTCCTCCCTCCTCCTCCTCCTCCTCCGCCTCCTCCTCCTCCTCCTCCTCCTCCTCCTCCTCCTCCTCCTCCTCCTCGTGCGTGGTGGGGAAGTCCCAGGCGAAAGGCCCGGCCCCCCGACTCGCCTGCCGGTGCGACAGGCAGGAGTGATCGGCAAGGAAGCGGGATGGAGGAAGGGGGTGGAGCAGGATGGGGTGGAGGGAGAGGAGGTGGATTCAAGACAACATCCGTCAAGGGGGGCCATAGCGCCCAGTGCGTAGCGCAGAGTGATCTTGCCCTTGTGTGTGTGTGTGTAGGATTGAGCGCTTCTGGCGTAGGGCCTACCGCCAAGCGCACCCAGGGGTTCAGGCCTGAGGCCAGAAGGACGAGGCCCTGGCCCAGCGTTGTGGACAGGAAAACGCCGGTGATATGTTGCTGCAGGGCGTCGGGGTTAGCGCCCAGGTCTACCACGACGCATGCGCACTGACAACGCACAGCGGCTGGTGCCTGAGGCCCAGAGTACGGCAATTGGGTCAAGGTGATCGTGATAGCTTCGGCGCCGTACACTGCACCATGACCACATGTGATGTCGATGGCGATGTGGTTGTCACGGCAGTCGTCGTCGTAGCGTTGACGGTAACCATAGTTACCACCATGATCGCCAAGACTTGATGGGTCATAGGTGCCATGACGGTGCTCCAAAATTTGGCGCCAGTGATTCTGAGTGTTTCACGCAATCGCATATCCGGTAGAGGGAAACAATTAGTGAACACCCCCCTGCCCCCCAAACTCAAAGTTGGCACGCGGGGGGGAGACTGCGGTCGAGGTGCAACTCATCAGACCCACCGCCAACTTTGAACATTGGGGGGAGGGGGAGGCGTTCACAGATGAATGTGGCATGAGTGTTCGCTAATTTTTCCCGAGGCCTGTCGCTCAGCAATGTAAACCATGATCCCTTGTAGGTAGTGAGCAGTGCTCTGTCTCTTTCTACAGATTGGACGACAGGCACTCCTTGTAGCTCAAGTGTACCATGGGCGCCCCTTCCGCCACCGTGCTTCGGGCGGCGGGGGTCGGGCGCGGGAGGGGCGCGCATTAGCACGACGGCGGGAGTCCGCCGTGAGGGCCTTCGCGGACCTCTCGCCGCAGGAGCTTCTTGGAGGCCTCTTGGGAGTCCTCTCGGTGAGGACCTGGAGGCCGAAAGCAGCTCAACGCCTCCCGCTGATCCCAATCATCCTGTGGTGTTGGGTCCCCGTTTTGAAGAGAGATCCCCGCGCCTCCTCTGCTCCTCCTCCTCCTCCTCCTCCTCCTCCTCCTCATTCTCCTTCCGTCACCCCCCTCACTCTGGCACACCCCTCGCACGCTTCGTGGCCCCATGGGGAGCTCCACCGAAGGCCCAACCGCCAGCGCTCGCATGCGCCCGCCGCGCCCATTGTGGCACACCCCATCACACGTGTCGTGGCCCCATGGGGGAGGCCCACATGCCAGCGTTCGCATCACACGTGTCGTGGCCCCATGGGGGAGGCCCACATGCCAGCGTTCGCACGCGCCCACTTTAGCCATTTTGGCGCACTCTTCACACGCTTCGTGGCCCCGTCAGGAGTCTCAGCGAAGGCCAAAATACCAGCGTTCGCAAGCGCCCACCGCGCCCATTTTGGCACACCCTCACACGTTTCGTGGCCCCATGGGGAACCCCACCGAAGGCCCAAATGCCAGCGCCCGCGTGAGCCCACCGCAGCCGTTTTGGCACACCTCTCACGCTTCGTGGTTCTATGTGGAGCTCCACCGAAGGCCCACATGCCAGCTCGCATGCGCCCACCGCACCCAAGCGGGCACAGCCCTCACACGCTTCGTGGCCTCATAGGGAGCCCCACCGAAGGCCCAAATGCCAGCGCTCGCATGCGCCCGCCGCGCCCATTTTGGCGCACCCCTTACACGTTTCGTGGCCTCATAGGGAGCTCCACCGAAGGCCCAACTGCCAGCGCTCGCATGCGCCCACCGCGCCCACATTTTGGCACACCCATCAGACGCTTCATGGCCCCATACGGAGCTCCACCGAAGGCCCAACTGCCAGCGCTCGCATGCGCCCACCGCGCCC